GCCACCACTGGACGTGGGCTGCGATAACGGTGGGTAGTTGTGTACCAAGTGTCGGATAGATCAGAGGTTCTGACGCGCGGTGCGGATGGTTGGATTTAGCTGCTCTCTGAACAGGGCCTCATCGACCCGCTGCCTAGTCCTGCGGAGAGAGTCTGGGAGACCGCGGTCATGTTCGTAGACAGTAGGTTCGAGGATAGCACGACCATCTCGATCCCGACTTGCACGACGGCTGGAAGACTGATAAAGCCCCCCTGGGAGGGTGGATGATGTAGAATTGTCTTGCATCTGTGTCTATTGTATTGCGCGGGCTTCCTGTACTAATTCATACTTACTTACCTGGTGCGTTCTAATCATAAAATACATACATAGATAGTAGTTAGTTGGTTGGAATAATCGTAATGCATGTGCTTGTACACACCTCGAAATGTGTTTACGGCCGCCCCTGTCCTAGGTTGTCGTCGGTCTTTGTGGGTTCATCTGGGATTCCTTGGTTTGTGAGGGAGTGCGCTAGTCCCATCTGTCGTCGATATCCACTTGAAAGTATCCCCTTTCGAGCCTTATGTATGGGATGAAATGCAGTTCGTTCTGGTGGCAACAAGATGTCGATGCGCATGGCAGCATCTAAGGCGACATGGCAGGACACGTATGGTTCAGATGGATAGTAGCGGCGATCCCGAGCGGCAAGAAAGCTTCTAGCAGTTGAAGTATGTGGATTGGAAGGTGGAAAAACGCATGTTTAGCAATCGCATATGTATGCAAATCGGAAGAGGCAGCTGAAATTCCCGCATGACCGACGGGCCGGATGGTGGCAGTGCGATCGTACCGGTGACCAGTCTCCTTGTTACGACCAGTGCTGACTAGTACTGACTTGTAACCACTTTCATTGCCTTTACAGCCCACGGACGATGCACTCCAACCCCGAGAACGCCGCGCTCCTCGCCCACATCGTCTCCCAGGTCGAGAGCAATGTCCAGTTCCTCGTCTCCCAGAACTACATCTCCTCCACCGACGCGAATACGTTTCTTGCCAAGCTCCCCACGAATGGTGCAGTGCCAGCGGCGTCCGACCTAGCATCTCGCATGCGTGGACTGGGAGTCTCGGCACCCACACCGCCCGCAGCGCCGCCCAGGCCAGCAGCAAGTTCGACGCAGCAGGCCCGCGCGCTGTGGGCGTACAACGAGAACGGCCAGGTGCGTCGCCAATGTCAAATGTCCAACTTCTGTTAATCCTTGAAACTCTCTAAACTGCGTGCAGGACGCAGACGACCTGTCGTTCGCCGCTGGCGACATCATCGAGATTATCGAAGAGACCAATACGGACTGGTGGATGGGCAGGGTGAATGGCAAGCAAGCGCTCTTCCCCTCCAGCTATGTCGAGAAGATCCGCAGTGCCGCGCCTGTTCCGGCACCAGCACCAGTTGCAGCTACTGGGAAGACGCCGTACAGGCCGTTCGGTGCGGCGATGCACGGCGTAAATGCGCCGCCACCAGTGGGCGCGGGCGTCAATACCGTCGGCCTCCAGGAGGCACCTGGCACGGAGGAGAAGAAGAGCAAATACGGAAAGTACGGAGAGACGGTATGTGTTGGAATTGGGATTTTGGTGTTCAAGACACCCTCTGAATGCGTGTTTATTTTAGATGGCGCATTCTGCGGCAGGTGGTGTTGGTTTTGGCGCTGGTATGTTGAGCAAAGGATCTATTATTCATGCGTGGCCGCTGATCACTGCGTTGCATAGGTGCTGCGATTGGTAGTGGATTGATACACGCCATATTCTAGAGGATTGGGCTAGTGGGCGGCAATATTCCAAGATTTATTGTTTCTTGTATCCTTCCATTCATCTTGTACATTTGGACACTACATTTTATGGACCTATAGACTCTTCAATTTCAGGAGACATGAAATAGCCAACACGACTCCGGAGGCAGGTAGCATAATATTCTATTTTAAGATTTGAAGCTATATGCTCCACACGACATCTCAGTAGGGCGGGCACGATGCCCGTGCTGCGCCTGTCATACTGCATGGATAAACATTTTTAGGTACGTCACTGCGCAGTTCGGATCTACAACCCTGCAGGTGCAGTGCATGCCGATCTATCTCGACCAACATGCATTTGAGGTACTGATATTTAAGATATTATAAGTAATCAAGCAAAGTCTGTGCCGTACGGCGGTCCGCTGTCCATCTCGAGTGTCTGAGTGTTAAATAGGTTGCGCATGCAGCGACGAGTCCATAGTCAGAATCAACGAGATCAGGCAAAGACGGCGAATGCGCTCGAGATGATCATGAGGAGCGTCGCGCTGGACACGCCGAGCATCAGTGCGCCGGAGTCCTTGGTCTGTGAGGCGGCAGTCTTAGTGGACGCGGTCTCCGAGATACCAGCGGGGGTGGCGCCGTCTAAAGTTGCGGATAGGTCAGCAAGGATTTAGACTGACAGAATAAAGCGATGTGCACGTACCGGTGAACGACGCGCCGCACTCATTCTGGACAGTGTCAGTGGTGAACAGCCCAGGGATCTCGGTGTTGACGGCGTTGTACGCGGCCTTGAGGCAGTTGGTACACGAGATGTTCGCAGGGAGTGTCACGTTGGTGTCTGCAGCCACGAGCGCGAGGACGTTCTGGATGCTCAGCGGGCCCAGAACACCTTGGATGTTCGTAAGCGTCTGTGTCACGCAGTTAGTGTTGCCACTGGGAGACAATTGATCAGCACCTCGTTGTTAGTGGAAGATAAAATCCTGGGACGCACTCCTTGAGGCAGACGACGTTGCGCACGGTGGGGTAGTACTGCTGGATGAGCGCAGAGACGGCAGGTGTGGACTCGGCCGTGTAGCCGATCGCAGCGAGGTCGGTCGCGCAGCCGGTGGTCGCATTGGTGACGATCGCGGCAATGGTGTCGTTGCTGCAGGAGGGGGCAGCGCAGAGGCTGGTGAGCCAGTTGTTGATGGGGTCGACGACAGAAGCGGAGCTGTCAGTCAGGATGGGTAGCAACGGCGACGGCGTTAGGCACGCATTGGCATCGGCGTTTGTGGCGATTGTGGTGAGCGCCTTTGTGCAGGACGCCGAGAGGTTGATCCTGCAGGATATCGTGAGTTTTTTTGGTGGATTCTGCATTTTTGTACTCACTGCGCAGCAGCAACAGAGAGGAGGGCAGAGATTGTGAGGGTACGGGTGAGCATGATGTAGGAGTGTTGTCAGTGTTTTTCACTAGAATTGATCGAGAGGTAAGTATGTATGATGGTTCAACCACGTAGAAGGGGAACCGATGTTAGAGGAGTATTTGTAGTGTGGTGCCCAGCGACCGGTCGCTTTTGTAAGAAAAATATGCGCAGTGGCCGAGATGCCATCGCGGCCACAGCCTTTGAGGCGTCGGCTAGTGAATTCCCGCGCGCGTCAGTTGCCAGGGCTATCAGGGTCGTCACTGATGCGCGTCAGCGCAGGCACAAGGGTCCTATTTACAAAATTCAACTCAAAATTCCACTCTATTCCACTTCATAGCGGGCAACCACACACTGGCTATCGGTAATCATTCTAGACGCTACTCCGCGAAAACTCAAATATTCCTGCACTCATTGGGCCTTTCTTTTGCACCTACGCTGGTCAAGATTGGAGCTATGTCTCAGAAGCCTATTTTCTCATCTCTTGGAAGCTTGGAAGGTTGTGGTTTCTTAGGAACTCATTCATGTCCTCGCATTGTAGTTATGCCACTCGTGAACAATAGAGCATGACATATGTATACGTGAGGGTACGCAAAGTTATCAGTGGCCAGGCGTATCTTCGCACACTAAAAGCACAATAGAACTTCTCGACACCAAAGCTCATATTGCAACACAAATCATGATCCCAAGCGCCGTCCGGAAAGATGTGAGATTTGTCCTAGCATTTTTGCTTCACACTTGAGAGTGAGTCTAACACGCAGGAGGTCGCGTCAGTGACTCCCGACTTCTACGCTTGGCAATCAATCATCTTCATTTCGCCACGGTGAATGTTTGATAAGACTTCGTACGTTGCCCGACGGTTAGTGTAATTCTCTAATCGCGGGCCGAAAAAACATACCTAGTATCAAATCATGTAAACGGGAAAATTGGGACGTCAGTGGATGTCGGTTTTCCATCCAGGCGCAGCAATTGCAAGGGCCTACGATTTTTTGTAATTGGATATATTGATAATTTCGGGATCCCTATGTATACGCCACAGCGCAGGCACTCGCTACCCGGTCAGCCTTTTCAGAAATAGAAGTTAAATATGCTGTACCCCACAGGCTCACCTTCTTTCTCAAGAAAAGGCATACAGGCCGCTCTCAAAGAGCGCTAACAAAAAGCTTGCCGTCCCGGCCCTTTGGCTGCGTGGTTAGTATTTACTACATATTTTCCTGTGCATGGCAGGTTCCAACTTCGAAATTCTGGTCTTAATGCCACAGCCCCTAGCACCAACAATTTTCTTCTTGATTCAATACAATTTGGCAAATAAATATCTTGAGCAAGGGCACATTTATCCACTGATCCGTCAATGGTGCCGTTCCCACTATTCCCCAGCCCCCCAGATTTTCTATAGCAGCCAACCTACTTAAATAGGCTAGTAATGATTAGTAAATGCCAGGTGACTTCCGGGAGGCCTCCCCAGACCAATTTTGAGCCTGAAACCCAGTCACGACATGATGGGAAATTTGGCAACTAGGATTTTCCAGATTTCTTTCAAACCTTAAGGGAAGTCGTCCAACCTTGTCTGATTTGAGATAATGCTGTAGAACACTAACACTTATCCGAAGGGTAATCCCACACGGGCGCTGATGTTGCGTACGCAACCATCATTTCACACGACGTGTTGGCGCACAAATTTTCTATGCTGTTTCGAAGCGCCTCCTCCAAAAGCCATATATTTAATTTTTAAAAGAGTGTGATGAAAAGCTCCAAATTCTTTGGGGGAATTTTTAATTTGTGGCAGAAACAATTTTCTGCTTAATGCAATGTGGCGCAAATTTGTATCTTCCAAGTGGACAAAAAGTGGAGACTGAGAGGATTGAACTCTCGACCTCACGCAAGCGCAGAGGATGCGAAGCGTGCGCGCTACCACTGTGCCAAGACCCCTTGATGATCTAGGCAAATAACGATGCTATCGATCGGCGGAGGGGGGCGCTTGCTTTAAGCTAATATTCGAGAGGATTCCTCTGTACATCATCGTCACTTTTTTGAAGCACCATGGTCTAATTTAATCGCAGGACGTGCCATTGTAGTTAGACATGATAGATCGGACACAGATCGCTCTCTTCATCGTCGGGGTGAGTTGTCATAATGGATTGAAGTTGGACCGATATTCCTGATTTTAATATCTGAGAAATCATCTTTGTGGACGATATATTCCTTCGATTAACCAAAGATCGATTGTCTAGTCGTGCATTGCCTTTCTTCGTACATCGATTCAGATGATGGTTGTCTACAACCCTGAGGACACACGTGACTGACAGGACTTTAAAGCTTGTTTGTACAAGTTGACTGATATTTTCTGGCTCATCCCAAATTGGTATGCTTGATCGATTTTTTGCGCGACCTGCTGGACTCGCTCTGGTCTCTTGCTCTCGACCAACTCTTTCCCGGCATCCAACAGCACAAGCCTTTAGATTCTTCAACTCCACCCCTGCCTGTTTAATCAAGAAGAAAATGCCCCCAAAGAAAGCAGCAGCGCCCGAGAAGAAAACTCTTCTCGGCCGGCCGAGCAACAATCTCAAGATTGGCATCGTAGGTTTGTTCTTGCAAAAAAGTCGAGTCTTCTCCGATTTATCTGTGGTCTCTTTCTTAGGCCTCCCCAATGTCGGGAAGTCTTCATTCTTCAATGCGCTCTCCGAAACCGGTACGTGATTTATCATCGATCTTACCACTCTTTTCTGACGTGCCGCGTCGACGACCTAGACCTCGGAAAGGCGGCCAACTTCCCCTACGCCACGATAAACCCGGAAGAAGCCCGTATCCCTGTTCCAGATGCGCGTTTTGAATGGCTTTGCGAGACGTACAAGCCAGTATCGCGTGTCCCCGCGTTCCTCACTTGTATCGACATCGCCGGTCTCACAGCTGTCGGTGACTTTCCACATCTTATTCTGCGTTCGCGTCGTTAATTTCTGTCGCGGCGCAGGGTGCATCAACTGGTGCTGGTCTCGGAAACTCTTTCCTGTCGCACGTTCGTGCGGTCGATGGTATTTTCCAGGTCATCCGCGCCTTCGACGATGCCGAGGTTATCCACGTCGAAGGTGACGTCGATCCTTTGCGCGACATGGAGATCATTCAGACCGAACTCCGGTTGAAGGATATCGAGTGGGTTGAGAAAGCACTCGAAAACCTGAAAAGGGCTGGTCGTGCCCTCAACAGCACGAGTCTTGCGGATAAGGCGAAGAAGGAAGAGATTGTGGGTTTCCGTTTTGTATCGGACTTGAGCTCACCTCTAATGAACTTCGTAAGGCTACTGTGGAGAAGATCCTGAAGGTCCTCACAGTTGATGGCAAGGACATCCGAAAAGCAGAGTGGAATAACAAAGAGGTGTGTATTAGCTCCCCGCATCATTAGTCTCTTCCACTACTCTTTCATGACGAAAAAGAGCGTATTGCTCGATAACCCAGCTCGTCGAGGAGGGAGTAACGCCCCAATATTCCTCTGAGATCAATATGTTTTTCTGACTTCATTCCACTCGATATTCCCAACTTCATCGACCCTATGCTGACTATCATCCCTTGTTCTAGGTAAATATGGTCTTCACTAGGTGTAACATTGCTCTTTTACTGGATATCTGCTACATGATGATAAAGAGCTCGTTGCTCGATAACCCAGCTCGTCGAGACGGGAGTAACGCCCCACAATGTCTCTGAGAAAAACCGTTTGTCTGATTTAATTTCATACTTGTCTATCTGTCTTCAAACATTTAAATTTGCTCCAGTGACTAATTTTCTCCTCTACCCAAAGATCGATGTTGTTAACGGCCTTTCCCTGCTCACCGCCAAGCCAGTCACATACCTTGTCAACCTCAGCGAGCGCGACTACATCCGGAAAAAGAATAAATGGTATGTTCGATTGGCTTGATCCTCATCACTTCGCTGACCGGTGTCTGTAGGCTTCCGAAAATCAAGGGTTGGATCGACGCCAACAACCCCGGTGACCCCCTCATCCCTTTCTCTGTTGCTCTCGAAGAGCGACTCGTTGCCATGTCTCCGGAGGAGCGCAAGGAGGAGGAGACAAAGATCGGTGCCACCAGTGCACTCGGCAAGATCACGCAGGCTGGCTACAGCAGTCTCGATGTAGGTGGACATGTACCTTCTATCAGCCGCTATTGCTCATTCTATCTCGGCCTGTTTAGCTTATCCGTTACTTCACATGTGGTCCTGATGAGGTCCGTGCATGGACGATCAGGCGGGGTACCAAAGCCCCACAAGCAGCTGGTGTCATCCAGTAGGTATCGTTTTCGAAAACATGTTGTCGGCGCTGATCAGGGCTGGTGTAGTTCTGACTTTGAGAATAAGTTCGTGTGCGGTGAGATCATGTCCTACGACGATCTCAAAGAACACGGGAGCGAGGCGTCAGTCAAAGCCGCTGGCAAGCTCAGGCAACAGGGCAAGCCTTATGAAAGTAGGCCCTTCTACTTCTTCACTGAGCTCGGTGACTAATAATTTCCTGTAGTGGTTGATGGTGACATCGCATACTGGAAGGCGGGAGGTTAACTTGTGTCCCTGGGTCACAATTGCGAAAGAAGAAGTCAATGCGGATGCAGTGTATATATATACGTTATATGTATGTTCCAGGATTGGTCGAGCGAATGCCATTAATTACAGCTGCTGGACCAAGATATAGAACGACATGCAAACCGCTCAGTTGATCATTATGTAGACCGACATGTTGGCCCCATCGGCAATGTTGTAGTTCAACGTTATCTTCTTCCCCGACGCGCTTGTTTTCCCGATCACTGGTAGCTGTTTCCACAGCATCGCGCCACGCTCATGGTTTGGCTGGTAGTATGTCGGGTGTATCTCCATGCTCGTGTCCTTATCCGTAAGATCAGTGATGATGTCGCACCAGCGCACATAGTTGTGCACCCCAACGGCAACCAAGAACACCTCGCCCGTACCGATGTCCTTGAAGCGCAGTGTCCCCGAGGTGCCGCTACCGTGCATTGTAAGGGTGAAGATCTCATCGTCTTCGATCCATGAACCGCCATTGGCGTAATACCAAACGGTGCGCTCGATGTTCTTGATTTTAGCAGAAGTGGCATTGACAACGTGTACACGGATGCTGTACGACATGGCTCTATTTACACAATCAAAATGATGTTGGACAACCTAGATGGCGGGGAAGTTGCTTACTCTGGTACTGAGGGCTATGCAGAGAGGTGAGTGGAGGTTTTCGCCGTTCCTGTGTAATTCCTGCTATGGATAATATTGAGTGACGATGATGTATATTGGGAAATGGTTCGCCCACTGTTCTAGCCGGCGCGATGGACGCAATTCTGTCAAGTTATGACTGGTGGGGCCTTATAAATGTCAACCCGCGACCATTATAATACCATTATATCGTTGGCAGATTGATCCCAAGTCTCAAGTGACCATGCAGGGATCATTGATCAACCAATGAGGCTTCGAAGAGTTTTCTTTTTCGACCACGGGGCCTAGCTTGGAATGGAGAAATGTTCACTCAGAATGCATGTGTAACCCTAGGACATGGAAGAAGGCTAGTACACACCTGGTGACTCCATGTGGCGCCGCACATGCCACATTTAGACCAGTTAACCACGTCATAAGTAGAACGAAACAATTAATTGCCCTGAGCGGGTGCAGTTTAACACAACACGTTCGGGCCCAGGACACCCAAGGTAATAAGTATCAACGACATCCTTTATCAGCCTCGGAGTCATAGAGGCTAAAAGTTCGCTCAAGTACTCGGTCGTGGACTCTAAACTTGCCTGACAGTCGCTCAATATATTGGAATCTATAAAGCCGGCTCGCCGACTTTGTTGCAAGGCTGCCGAGTGTATCGATTAATCAAGCTGGATTAGAATGTAACTTGTCCAAACTAAAGATCGAAAAGACACGGCTGAGAAATCCATTGAGATTAACAAGGATTGGAAAGACAGCAAAGGTATGTAAAAAAAGTATGAAAAACTTACGCTGTCCTCACAAACCATGTGTTGGTTGGTATTGACGTTCGCACTTCACAAAGCGTTCGCACTTCACAAAGGGACGCTGTATTCCTTGAAGAGCAAAGAAAGTGCCATCGTCCCAATAAATTGATGGTGAAAAAACTCCTCGTAGTACCCCGCAAAGTCGATATATTGGAATATGATAACCAGGCAATGTTTGTGACGATGAGGACTGGGTGGAGAAACCAAGTGGATACAGGCGGAAGCTGGCAGCGTCCGAAGTGGCTACCTCGACCACTTAACTCGCTCTTTGTGACTCATGTGAGTTGGAAAAGATACTAGCCGCGTTCAAAGTTGTCGAAGCAAAAAAGTCGAAGTCGAAGTCGAAGGATGACATAACGCTGAAAATTGAGACTCCGAGCGTGACTAGGCTGTGACCCTCTGCGACGCAGACCACGACGACTGACAGATTCGGAGGCTCCTTGCATTCACAACACATTTACCAGTATATATTTCACTTCTAGTTCATCATGAGTAACCTTATATTGAGCACTCGAAATTTTTGAATGAGGCTAAAGCGAATTATACTGAGAGACCGAGAATCTTTGGCATGACTACAAAGAAATGGGTGATAAATTATAATTATAATTGCAAGGATCCTTGATTTATTGCCAACATGGGTGGGCTTTTCTAGCTTTAGAACATGTTAATCACACCCACTAACATAGTGGGCAACGTGTAATACAGAGGTGGGTGTCCAATGTGGCATCACCATCAAGTAAACTATGCATAACCCTTCAAGTTTTCAAGAGATTTCGATGCAAAAAATGGTTGCATGATCATATATTCAAAAGATAGGACAATACAGGATCATTTCATGAGCTGGGGTGGTTATTCCACTCACGAGGAATTATCCACAAGTCCATCGAGGAGCGTGACATTGGACGCCGGCTGAGTCTCAATTTTTAGCCTTATG